TGCGGAAATCGGATAGGCGTCGCACGCGAGACTTTAGTATAAAACCGCGCAGATGCAGGGTCTTCTCATATCGACTAGCAATGCAAGCATACGCAAGCAGTCGCAGTGATGGCGTACTATGTAGTACCCATACTCATGCGGTCCTCGTTAATCTCGAGGGTTGCATTCGACACTCAAGTGTCGGTTGACACGCGCCTTGAGGGAATGATTTCTCGACGCTGGACAACCGCCAAGTGCGGTTGAAAACCACACCCTCTTCTGCACCCTGCGGAGAGTGGGTGGTACACAGGTTCATACCTGTGGTGGCAATCGTCTCTTATGGCCTGGAGACCAGCTCTATCATCCAGGGTTTGGAAAGAGGTCAAGGGGTTTGACTTTGACGGTTGCCACGGACTACAACGTCCAACTGTAAAAATTAATAAGCAAAATCAATCAGTAAATAAGTAAATACCCAAAATTCGTATATCAAATCAGATATCGAGATAGAGTAAAAGAAGGAGAAACATAAATCCATCAGGTATGCAGATCGTGCGTCACGTGGTTGTCATTCTCACTGTCTCCAAGGTATGGCTCATATATCAAGCTCCAAATACTAACCTGCACAAAACACAGGCACACACAATAGCCACATTGCCATACACCAATGTGGTCAACTTTACTGTTCCCTGTAACTCACACCACGCCTCACACACTCAAGCCCCAGTCATAGTCAAAATCACCATAAATCTCACAAGTTCTTTATAATGGTCGTTTAAAAGAAGTCCGATTAAAACCCTCAAAGAAACATATTAAATCTCAGGGCTAAGGCAATCAAGTTGAGGTACAGGTATAAGCAAAGTTGTGTCGTGAGCCGACGAGTCGGCAATCAACCAACTGACATGTTATCAGTGATAACAGAAGATGATCCTCGTGAGATCAAGCTGAAGCTAGTCCAAATTCTGGATCGAGTGTCCAAAGAAGACCTGTATCATACGACAGGTCAATGTCCAAATTAAATCGTCAATGTATGGAGATCAAATCCCCGTGACACGCTCTCACTCAAGACCCTCCTAATAGCTAAGCCTAGGTCTATCTCTAGGTCAATACTTAAAGAAAGGTAGACCTATGGCACAATCTCCCCCATACAGAGTGGATCGCCAGAGTCGCCACCTATCAAAATATAATTTATCTCCCCTAAACTAAGAAAATTTCGACAGCGCTTCCCGTAGGAAAAGTGTCTTTCTATAATTTATATTAGCCTAAATATGAAAACAAAAATAATCTTCAACATTCCAAAGTCAAATTTTGTCTAACTCCCTGAATTAGCAAAAATTTGGGCAGCACTCCCCTTAGAAAAGGAGACTTCCCAAATTTTTACTAAGCCATATATACAAAATCAGATAAGTTGAACTTTTGAAAAGTCAAATTTTGACTAACTCCTTCAATTTGTAGAAATTTCGGCAGCGCTTTCCGTAGAGAAAGTAGCTTACCAAAATTAATACAAAGCTAAGTTCAAAATTTAAAATGACTTTGACTTCTCAAGGTCTAATTTTATCTAACTCCCTGAAGCAGCAAAAATTTGGGCAGCACTCCCTTTAGAAAAGGAGGCTTCCCAAATTTTTACTAAGCCAAAAAGTCAGACAAACTGAACTTTGAAAAAACAAAATCTGACTAACTCCTTGGTTTTGTAGAAATTTCGGCAGCGCTTCCCGTAGAGAAAGTAGCTAACCAAGATTTATACAAGGCCAAGCATAATAAAAGATCCCAGAAAATGCAGAAATTGACCTAAGTAAAAATAAACTGATCTCAGAAAATCCAGGAATTGAAACTAACTCCTATGGCTCTAGCACGTGGCGAGCATCTAAAGCAACTACCTATCAAACTGAAACTCAGACCAAGTAGTAATCTCACTCAGCCACATGCAAGACCAAACCACAAAGATAAGTACTCTCACCAGCCCAAAGTCAACCTGGACAAACAATAGTTCGTAATCTTTCAATGATTTACCCCTTTATACCCAGCTTACATAAGGCATAAAGCTAGGCCACGCAAACTTATGGGAACCTGCCTAGCTCAGCCAGAATATACACAAACACAGGGCACAACAACTTTTCTCTTCTTTGGGCACATGACTAGGCCACCCTAGTCGCCCTGAACTGTTTAAGTATCCAAGTTATATATAATTGTCCGTCCTTAGTCTTATAAGGTAGCATATGACTGATCCGATCAACTTAGATCGAGGTCCAGCCTGCCCCTTCTTACCACAAGTTTATTCTTAATTAATACTCTCTTCAGTTGGTGATAAGCTATAGTCAGACCACCCAAACTTATGGAACCCTGTCAGACTAGCCTGTTCATAGATAGAATAATAGTAAAGTATAACCAAGTTATATCCTTTTGGTTCCAGCATGTGCGTGGCATTGGACCAAGACCACCCAAACTTATGGGAACTTGTCTGGCCCTCAGCCTGATTCATTCTCCTAAAGCCAAAGCAGAAAGAAACTGAAAGAAACGCAAAGTAAACAAGGCGACCAAGCCACCCAAACTTATGGAACATGCTTGGTCCCTAAAAAGTCAATCACAGCCAGCCCTCGCAAGTCAAAGCAACCAGACCACCCAAACTTATGGGAACCTGTCTTGTCCTTCAGGCAATCCAAAATAAACATAGCACTGGGCCCTCCAAATTTATGAAGACTCTCCCAGCCTGTGGTTGACCCAGTCAAACTCAAGAAAAACAACCTTCCTCCCATCCTTCCCCCAGATGCAATCCCACAACCTGCTTTCAGTCAAACAATAAAACTGAAACTGACATTGCACACACATTCCTTCATTAAGTCTGGTTTATGTCATGAAGTCAAACTGAAAGTCAAAGTAGGGATACAGGCAACATACTCAGTCAAACATAGCAATGAATACAAGTAGGGTTAAAGTGGGTCTATAGAAGGAAAGCAATGGTTACCTTTCAGTTCCCTGCCTCCAAAATTCCTCCCAAGTTCCGGCAGAGCTCCCGCAATCGGTGGGCTGACTCCCCATAGTGCTTTTCGCTAAGTCGTCTCTTTGTTTGCTTCATGTCAAGTCAAACCGTCAAAAGCAAAATGCAGCCGGAACCTCGGTTTGGTCCATCTTGCCGTTTTAATCTCATTTGTCCTCCGGTACATCCGTTAAAATTGGATCGATACACAGAAGATTAGCATGGCCCCTGCGCAAGGATGACACACATCAATCGAGAAATGGTCCCCCCCCCAAAAAAAAAACTTTTTAAAATTTTAATGAATCGATCTCATTGTTGCATTCCTTTCCAGCCTGAGTCGACTTGAGAACGAACTGCATTTAGTTGTTTCGTTTTGTCAATCTTGCTACTTTTGACCCCATTTTGTTACACGCTTGGTTGCTACGTGCCTTTTTGGCTCTAGTCAACTGGTCGGTTGGTCGTTCCCCGGCCGTTTTGGCCCTTTTGGAGCTGCCGACTGGTGGCTGTGCGATGCTGGCGTGCAGGTGTGTGTTTGTGTCTGCCGTGTGTACGCACACACGCATGCGTGTTGTGTGTGGTGCGCATATGTATGTGTGTGTAGGAATGTGTGTGTAGGAATGTGTGTGTAGGAACGTGTGTGTAGGAATGTGTGTGTGCACATGCACCCCTGTCTCTTGTGTGTGTTTTTTTAAGGAACCCCAGACTCTCTCTCTCATTTCCTCCACGAATCAGCATAAACCATCCATAAAACAAAAAAAGTAGAGATAGGCAAGATAGTAAAAAATGCAAGGTTGGCCACGTCTGTGTGGTTCAGCGCCAAGTGCCCGCACACCCGTCTGCCGCTGAAGCAGCACACTTGCATGTATACATATGTATACATATGTATTTCATAGTCCATAAAGGGATGGAGGGCAAACGGCAACTTACCTAAGACAGAAGACTCTTTCCAGAAAGAAAGCACTGACCCAACCCTCCAAAGGTCCAAAAAACTTGGAGAGCCTTCCGCATCGGCCCACACAACCACAAACTCGATTACACAAAGACAACACAAGTATGAAAGCACTGGCACTACTTCATCCCAAACTACCCATTCACGTCACTACCAAAGGGGTGGAAGGTAAAAGACAACTTACCAAAGACAGAAGACTCCTCCAGCAAGAAAGCACCGACCCAACCCGCCACAGGTTCGAAAAAACTTGGAGAGCCTTCTGCGCCGGCCCACAAAACATACATTGTGTGTGTGTGTATGCTGGCTCGGTGGGGGGCTTAGGCCAAATGTGGTGCCAAACAAACAAGGTGGACTGTGGATGAACCAAAGCGCGTGTCATTTGTTTTTTATCCCTTTTCAGTCTAACTGACCTCGTTCCGTTACCCAACTGCTACATGTATCTGGACTATATGTTAGCCCAGACATACTTGGACTGACCCTAAACTCTGAATGTATTAGGATGATTTTCAGCACCAGATACCTTTTAGAGTGTTGTGTAGCGGAGTGAGGCCCAACATCTTCGAAAATGCCCGACTTACTTTTCCGGCTAACAAAAGAACCAAAAAAGACAAAAGAAAAAGCCAAAACGAAAGAAACGACAAACGAAAAGAAAAACTAAACATGACCAAACAAAAAAGGCAAAGGAAAGCGAACTCGCCCGCTGCCTGCTTTCTTTTGTCCTCTCCGTGCTTCCAATTGGGTGGCAGCCATGCCAAGATATTCCTCCTGATTAGCTCCAATTCCTACTGTCAGCCGTAGTTTCTTCTCTGCAGGAAATGTTCCCCCCACATTTGCTGGCGCCCATCAAACATTCTCAAAAAAAAACACTCATGGCATACCCGTGGTAGTCGATGTGTCCGATGATTCTCCGATCCAATGGCTGTCAAGGGGATTACGATCTGGACTCAGTGCGCTGTGGACCGTTAGATGGAACTGATGCTCCTTAAGAGGAAGGATGTAGCAGAACACAAAGAAAGTCGAAGAACAACAAGAAAAAAGGAGCGTGAGGCTTGCAGGAACTCTGGTTTTTTTGCCGCATGTGATCACTTATTTGATGACCAGAAGAAGAAGAAGTTGGAGGAGGAGGAGGAGGAGGAGGTGGAGGGAAAAGAAAAGAAGGCGAAGGCAGCGGAGATGGGGGATATGAGGGGCCTCGGGGCTGGGTTACAGGGAAGGTGAGGTATTGGGGGATGAGGGGACTGTGGAGGGCAGTCAGCTGTTTGCTGGGAGGTAATGGCCAACTACATGTGTTTGACGCACCACCAATTGCAAGTTTGCAGTGCAACACTATTGATAAGCAAATTTCAAATGTAGACTCTAGAGTTGCAAGTTATTAGATTCTTACAACTCTTTCTGCGTGGTTAGAATTCAATGTAGATGATAACTCTGCAGCTTTCGTTGTCTTTTTGCATTCAGGGGCCTGTTGGTACAGGCCCATATAAGATGTGTTCTGTTTCTTCCTGCCTGGTAGTATTGTATTCATTCGTTTTCTGCTTTCAGTCCCCTCGGTGTATTCCCTGAATGTTCCAGTCACTTCAAACATTCACACAGCCGGTGGATGTAGGACCGTACTTCCCTTTATCAACGTCGTGTGATCTTTTCCTGTACTGGTGAATGTTGCATGTGTTTGTGACTCAGTTAGTAAGCATCAAGAAGGCTGTGAAGACCCTCCTGCAGGTACAGGGAGAGGGTAAGCCTGGCCATCTTCCACGGGTGAAAGTGGCGTCAGAGGGTCCTCATACCAGGCCATTCTTACTGAGTTCAAGAAAGAACTGCTACTCAATTACACCTGATGCATCGACGGCTGGGATCGATCAACTGCAACCACTCTTGTCTGCACCCCATGGCTTCGATCTGTCGAACCCAAGTAACCAGGATTGGTCAGTGGTCACTGACCCCCTACAGATTGCTGAGGGAAGTTCTGCAAAAGATCTCATGGATATGTCTGTTCCGTCGTTCAGTCAGTCGATGCACACCAGGAAAAATGTTTCCATCCACAGTCACAGTCAGCTATCCAGCCAGCTATCAAGTCAGATGACCAACCACCTCGATCTGCAGTCAGCAGCAGTTGGTCTGGCATCTGTGATCACATTTCTGGCCCTTGCATCGCCTGGCTATGCATCAGTGATGACAGAGGCTATTTCCAAAGTTGTGGATGTTGGTAGCACAGCGGTGGACACAGTGTCAGGAGATGTAGTCACTGACTTCACCACAAGTTTCCAGAACGGCTTTTTATCGGTGCGTTCCTCTTGAGTATCCTGGTGGTTGTCTCTGGTCTTGTTCTTGTTCTTGTTCTTTTTTTTTCCTTTTTACAAAAAAATGCATCATTTCTTGATCTATGTGTGTCATCCTTGCGCATTGGCCATGCTAATCTTTTTTGTGACTCCCTTTTTTTTTTTTTTTTTTTTTTTT